CCCACTCCCGGAGAATTAGACTTGCAAATGAAACTGGCGCCACAGAACCAAGGCAAGCTGGCGCTAGAACATCTGACCTCTTAAGACGGCTCTCCTTTCAATAGCATGCTCCTAGTTATCGTCTTGTTTGGGCCTTGGTCTCTTAGCCATTTCACGGCACGAAGGATGATACCTTTGAATGGAAACTTTGCAATGTTGAGGGTGGGGAGCCCGAGACAATGGCTTGAACGGGTGATGGAGGGAGATGCTCACATCCCTCACTCGGTGCGACTCCACGCATTAGGGAAGGAGCCGTTACCTGCTCTTTGTATTGTGCATACCCTGTTTCAACATGCAAAATGTTACTTTTTTTAAAAAAAATGTACATTTTTTGTCTATGTTTTGCTCCATAGAATGTGCTAGTAGTTTTAAGAATAAATGAAAAATCATAGTCGGTTCATGTAAAAGGATAAATCATCAATGAAACAAAAACCTCTGCATCAATAAATGATATTATCAAGCAATCTATATGTATTGCGGATGTTGCATCTGCTAATGACCTCAGTTTATAGGAATCTCCGGAGATCCATCAGAGATTTCCCAAGAAGATTTTGTACTCTCCAGAAGAACCCTACTGAGTTTTGGGAGACCTACTCGGGTTATTATCTTGAAGATGAAAAATGAACCCTTGTGGCTCACGCCTTTCTTTCTTTCTTTCTTTCTTTCTTTCTTTCTTTCTTTCTTTCTTTCTTTCTTTCTTTCTTTCTTTCTTTCTTTCTTTCTTTCTTTCTTTCTTTCTTTTTCTTGCTTCCTTCCTTGTTTGCTCACTTGCTTGCTTGTTTGTTTGCTTGTTTCACTTAAATCCTGCCCAGCTTATGGAACCACTAATCTAGGCCATCATTACAATACTGCATAAACTTGAACCCCCTTCCCACTCTTCCTCAAACATAATATATAAAAATAATCCCAACCAGGTAAAATCGGATAGTGGGGGCCACTACCGAGAAGGGTTGTGTTCTAGTTGAGGCCTTCCTTGCCTCCCTTAGGCATGGCCACCTCCAGCAGTGAGGCCAAGGAAGATCATGTGGAACGGGCAGCATTTCTCTAGGAGAGATGCTCTGACAGGTAGCGAGGTACTAAACCATTAAGTGGTTTGCATGTTAAAACTAACACTTTGAACCTGGCCCAGGACACAACACGTAGCCAGTGCAGGAGAGCCAGGACTGGGGATATATAGTGCAATACCCTTTTCTAGAGGATCAGTATCTGCTAATTCACTTGTATTAAGAATATAAAAAGAAAAATCCTAGGTACCGTATTTTTCCATGTATAAGACTATACTTTTGTCTAAATATTTTATACATGGAAGTAAGCCGAGGAGAGAACAAACACACATGGTGGGGAAAGCAGGGATCAAATTGTTCCTGCACGGCTTTGATCCCTGCTTACCCCTCCACTTGCTAATCCTTACCAAAAGGAAAGCAGGGATCAAAGCGCTGCAGGATCACTTTGATCCCTGCTTTCCCCTCTGCTTGCTAAGTCGCATGGGGCTTAGCAAGTGTAGGGGGAAAGGATCAAAGCAATCCCGTGGCTGTATAAGGGGGAAAGGGATCAAAATGATCAGTTGCAGGATTGCTTTCATCCCTTTCCACTTCCTTTTGCTAAGCCCCACAAGGTTTAGCACGAACAGAGAAAGCAGGGATCAAAAGAATCCAGCAGCGCTTTGATCCCTTTCTGTCTACACTTGCTAAGCCCCACTTAGATTTATTAATTTTGGGTTAGAAAAATGGGGGGGGGTCTTGTTCATGGGGGCATCTTATATACGGAAAATTTGGGTATATATATTTGTAAAGATAAAGTTACAAGAACTGGCCACTAGAGGCCACTGCACTCTACTCTCCAGGCCAACTTTAAAGGAAGCCCCATGTAGAGAGGATTACAGTAGTCCATCCATGAGAGGACCAGCGTGTGTACCGGTGTTGTCAGAGATCTCCCATCTAGGAAGGGGCACAGCTCTGCAAGCCACTGGAGCTGACAAAAGGCAGGCCTAACCATGCCCAAAATTTGGTGAGTTGAGTTTCTGAAAGTCCGGCACTTCCCACATCATTCTAGATTGAAGTAAAGGCCTGCTTTTGTTCGTGTGTGTGTGTGATAGAGAGAGAGTAGAAGGTTTCCTAAAAGAAATGAACCCTCTCTGTGCTTTGAGCTATCAGAGGAGGAAAGACGGGTATATGTGCAAATCAAGGAAAGAGACGTGCATGAAGGGAGCAATGTTTGTTTTTCAGGTGGATCCAGCCGTGCTCATCCCTTTGTCCTTCCTCACTGCTCTCTGTCCCGCCTCAGCCTGGATCTCCTGTTCCGCTCAGGGGCTGAAGTTGTTGTGGCCTCTGCACACCCCTAGCGAGAATGATGGTGGCTCAAGATGTGGAGTGGTTGGAGAAGGTTGTTGCTCTTGTTTTTTTTAACTATCTGTCCCAGCATGGCCTTTGTGCTTGGCTAAAGGATTTTGGAAGTGGTTGTCCACTGGACGAGAGGGTGAGGAGGACGTTGGCTTGTGAGAGGACACACGCTCCTTCTTCTGCCCCCCCAGCATCTTCCTCAGGGCGTCCTTCACCTCTCGGTTGCGCAGGCTGTAGATGAGGGGGTTCAGCATGGGGGTGACGATGCAGAACAAGGAGGAGATGAGAGTGTCGACTTCCAAGGAGTAGCCCGCGCGGGGGCGGTTGTAGTTCACGTTAGCCATCCCAAAGTAGATGGCGACCACAAGCATGTGGGAAGCGCAGGTGGAGAAGGCCTTTTGCCGGCCGGTGCTGGAGTGGATTTGCAATATGGCGGACAGGATGTAGATGTAAGAGACGACAACGAGCAGGAAAGGACTCAAACCCACAAAAACGCTGGCGGCGTGAAGGGCCATCTCGTTGACGTAGGTGTCGCTGCAGGCAATTTTCAGGAGGGGCGGGACGTCACAGAAGATGTGGTGGATCTGGTTGGCCCCACAGAAGGCCAGGTTGGCGGTCAGTGCCGTGTGGAGGGTTGAGTCCAGAAGGCCCCAGATCCAAGACGCGGTAGCCAGGAGGACGCACACCGGCTTACTCATGAGCTGGGTGTAGCGTAAGGGTTCACAGATGGCCGCATAGCGGTCGTAGGCCATGACGGCCAGCAGGGCACACTCGGATCCGGCGCAGGTCATCAGGAAAAACATTTGGGCCATGCACTGGTTGTAGGAAATGGTGTGCCTCTGGCGCAGGAGGTTCACCAAAATCTTGGGGAGGGTGACGGAAGAATAGCAAAGGTCCAAGCAAGACAAATGGCTGAGGAAAAAGTACATGGGGCTGCGAAGGTGCGAATCCGTCTGGATCAGAGCGAGTATTGCAGAATTCCCTGCCAAAGTGACAAGATAGATGGCCAGGAAGAGCAGGAAGAGGAAGGTCTGGCCCGTGGGGACCCCGGAGAAGCCGAGGAAGACAAACTCCGTCACCCGGGTCTGGTTGCCGCCTCCCTCAGTTTCCATCGCAGTCAGCTGTGAAAAGAGGAGCAGGATGGAGCAGAAGGTGAGGGGGCCCCAAAGGGGAGCCCCTTTACCCCCTTGCAAAAGATGTTGGGGTGGAGCATCAAATAAGGAAGGACAAGCTCGGGGTGTAAAATAATCCGGCCTGTTTATGTATTTAGCTACTACACACCACCCAATTTACTGAAATGACTACTCGAGGCAGTTTGCAGAATATAGACAAGCCACACACCCAACAAAAACTCTCTCTCTCTCTATATATATAGTTATCTATTGCATTGCTATGTGGCCTTTATCCCAGAAGTGGGACTCAAGGCAGCTCAAAAATCATAGAATCAGAGAAAAGTGATGTTGGAAGGGTTGCCAACAGGGCCATCAAGTCCAACCCCCGCTCAAGGAAGGTGTACCATCAAAGGATATCTGCCAGGTGATTATCCAAGTTTTTCTTGAATGCCTCCAGTGTTGGAGCACTCACCAACCCCTCTGGAGGTAAATGGTTCCACTGTCGTTCTGCTCTAACAGT